TATTCTTGATAATTATAATAATAATTATCACAATAAATACATTGATAATTATACGCATTGATAATTATTTTTGTAAATATAAAGTTAATTAAAAAAACTAATCGCTACTTACTTAAGGCCACACCGTATGTATTCGACCATGATTTGCTGCTTCGAGACGTATCTAAATGTCAGTCTCAAAAAGTAACAAATACGAAATATATTTTTTCGATAATTTTGCTTTTGTGTTTAATTAGACTGTTTTGGCATGCTTTGTTATTTTAGTATATTCATTTTTAGCCAAAAATTAAAGTGACATTGGTTTTGCGGAAATGGCACCTAAATATTTTTTCCTTGTTTTTGATAGTTTGTTTTAAAAATTACTTGTAAAATTTCTTATTAATTTATAAATTAGTAAATTTTATAACAAACCATCAAAAACAACGAAAAGATCTTCAAGAGCCAATTTCGCACTACAATCGTGTTGATTGACACGTTATTGCTTATCACCATCCAATAATTATTTTCTAATTATCAAAGAAAATAATTAATTATCTTGAATAATTTTCAAAGCCTGGTTTAAATTAGTCACAAATTCAAATATATTATTGCCTTAGTACACTTACATACGGTGGACAGCGTGTTTTAAAAACTGTACGGCATATTCAGAAGAGGTACATACCGCCAATAAGAAATCGACTGCTTCAACATTTATCATTTAGCGACTTTAATGTTAATGTTTCCGAGGTGTCAATTTTGAATTGTCTTCAGGTTGTCAAACTTAAATACATCAGTCCCATTTGACAAGAATGTAGCCTATGTCAATGACTCTACAAAGGTACATTAATTCACTATAGTTTATTGCATAGGCTCAAGATAATATTTTAAAAATCATAGTACATGTGTTACCCTTTAAGGGTGTTTGCAATTTGAGTGATGTATACTAGTTTTATTACATAATAATATTACATTAACTATATATATACACTTCCGGACACATAATTCGAGCCACCACGCATTTTCAGTATTAAGTGTCCTAAGCTAAAACAATGTTTGTATGATCAAAAACTATTATGCAATTTGGAAATTAGTATACTAAACGTCTTTTCCATCAACTCCTTGTTGGGAATTTAGATTTTCAAAACCGGGGAAAACTTTTTCTTCGATCATAACACTATTTTTGTATTCTAGCCCTTTACGACAAAAATATGAGGTGGCTCGAATTACGTGTCCGGGAGTATATTAATTAATTTAATATATTTTACACATTATTTGTTTTCATTAAAAATAATTGTACGGTATTTTCATTAATACTTCAATAATATTTGCGACAAAATTATAATCATGTATTTTATTATTATTTGTATCAAAATTATTTAAAGCAAGTTTTCGTTTTAACAAAACCCAACTCTTTCTGAGTTTAAGCAAAAAAAATTAGAGTAATTAGGCAATGTTGTTTTTAAAAATCTCGGCTTGAGGTGCACATTTGAAATTGTTTTGTCAGTTTGGCAATCTAAATTGCACTGTAAAAACGGTTATAAAATTGAACACTTCTGCGGTCAGTTCACTAATTAACGCGGCACCCACTTGAACCGACCAGAAAAAGCTTAATCTCGCACCGATCGCCAAATGAAACACACGTTCTTACTACATGGACATTACATCTTTTTCTGACTACATGGACATACATCTTTTTCTGATCTGGTTAACGCGTTTCGGTATCAATAATTGTGGTTTTACTTAATACTTAATAACTACAAATGGAATTGGCATCTGTGCGAGTTTACACATGCAATGAGGCCTATCAGCTATCGCTTTCAGGATACCTTTACAACTCCCGCGCATTCTGTTCAACAGCGAGGCAGTTTTCTTTCGCCAGATTGCGTCAAAGCCGTCCACGCGCGCATCTGCGAACATGCCCGAGGCGCTGCAAAAGCGCGGGAGCTGCAACAGTGCCCTGAATGCATTACTAAACTGGACTTTGAATTATAATTCCCCGCTACTTTTAAATTGCGTTATCTAAAATGTGTGGAAAGTTGATTTTTTATTGGCGTTATTGCAATGGACACCCAAATCCGGTTAGTGCATTATGCATTAATTACACTATAATGTACTACATAAATTCCATCATTTCGATAAATCATTCGACTCGATAAAAATGGGACCTCATTTATTATAAATAGGTAAGTCTTATTGAGATAATAAGTCCTTTTAAGTTATTAAGTCAGTAGAAAACGTTAAAGGTGTGACATTACGTATAAATTTTGCACGTAAGTTTAATTAATTACACTAATGTATGTACCATAAAGTCTTTTGAATAAAGTGTCCCTATAAAGATGACTCAATTGAAACTATAATGTACCATATAAGTCATTTAGAGCTGAAATCATTCGATAGATATATGCTAAGTCTTTTGAGATAAATGAAGCCATAGATAAACATTTCATACTATAATGTATTACGTAAGTCCTGTTTAGTTAATAAGTCTTTTACGTATAATTTTTCCAAGTAAGTTCTTTAAGTAATAAGTGGTAGAGTAACATTTCATGTCCCACAAAGTCTTCGAGTAAAGTGATTAAAACTCGATGACGTTCACTCGATTAAAACTACATTATACCATATAGGTCATTTAGAGCTGAAATCATTCGACACGACACATATGTTACCTTTGTTACAATAGATGTACCAGGTACGTCTTTTTGCGATAAATATATAACAGTTCATGACATAATGTATCACGTAAGTCCTTTTTAGTTAATAATTATATAATATTAAAAATGTGACATTACATACAAAATGTACCATGTAAGTGTTTAAGCTAATAAGACACGATAGAGATTTTTTATACTATAATGTACCATATAAGTCTTTTAGAGTTAAATAAGGCTAGAAAATGTTAAATTTATGACTTTACGTATTAATTATTATATACCACGTGTGTTTTTTGACTTGAGTCATAATTAGAGGATAAGAAGTCACTTTCTTACTTATATGTACACTATACAAGTTCTAAATAAGTGGCTAAAACACAATGAATATGAAACATTTCAAATTGTAATCTAATATACAAGTTCTATTGAGTTAGATAAGTCTGAAACAGAATAAAGATGTGACAATATATACTTTTAACGTACCACGAGAGTCCTTTGAATTATAAGTCACTTATAAGTCAATCGAAATGAAGACATTTCATATTATAAAGTACATCCAAGAGCGAGTCGATCAAGCTCGACTTTAAACTTTAAATCGTCCTTATCGTAAGCTGCGCAGAGTTAAATTTAAATTTTATCTTGCTTTTGACCACGAAAGCCCTTTTGTGGTAAACTTGTCGGGAAAACACCATAAAGACATGACTGATAGGTGCTATAATGTACCGTATAAATCTTTTGGAATAAGTCTATGTAAAACGATAAATTTGTGATATTACGTGTTATAATGTACCAAGTACATCAATTTGAATTAAATACTTCACAAAGACACGAGAAAAATGTCTTTTTAAAATTATAACGTACCATACAAGTTTTGGGTAAAATACACGATAAAAATGTTTTATAGTGTCACAAAGAGACGATAAATATGTGATTTTCAAAATATAATATACTTCAGTCCTTTTGAGTAGAATAAGTCACAAAGATTCGTTAAGATGTGATTTTCAAAGCATAATATTATACTATTTAATTTACTTTGGAGTAAAGTAAGTTACAATGACACGACGATGATGTGTCTTCCAAATTATAATGGACCATATACTTCAGACCTTTTGAGTAAAGTAAGTCACAAAGACAAAGATGTGACTTTCAAAGTGTAATGTACTATTTAATTTACTTTTGAGTAAAGTAAGTCACAAAGACACGATGAAGATGTGACTTTCAAAGTATAATGTACCATATAAGTCCTTTTGAGTAAAGTAAGTCACAAAGACACGATAAAGCTGTAACTTTCAAAGTATAGTATTTATACTATTTAATTTATTTTTGAGTAAAGTAAGTTACAATGACACTATGAAGATGTGAGTTCCAAATTATAATGGACCATACACTTCAGACCTTTTGAGTAAAGTAAGTCATAAAGGCCATACGATAAAGATGTGACTTTCATAGTATAATGTACCAAATAAGCCCTTTTAAATTATTCAAGTAATCCGAAAACGATTCCAAATTATTTTTCAATTCAGATTTTAATAGTTTTTATACAATTTATACGACTTTGTAAGTCAAAACGCAAGTATTCGACAATGTTTCCTAACTTTTTTGAGAGCGTTTATCAGACGTAAATGTAATTTAAGTAAAAGAAATATAAATAAAATTAATATAATAATAACTTAAGGCTGTTGGCAACAGGCAGCCAGTTTTAACAATAATTACGCCAAGTTCAATACTTACTCGTACAACGAGAAATTAGCATGCTTTAGGCATTTGCCTAAAATGTGCGAATTTCTCATCCCCGAAAAGATGCTGTAAAAGGAACAAGCATCGCATTTCTTATAAAGGTAATGTACGAGTATACCTCGTGTTCACAAGGTGGCAAATATGTTCTCAGCCTTTTAGATTTGGACTATCGTAGCGACATCTCTTTAAAATCGTTGAAACTAATTTGTCTGTTTTATCGACTGTGAGTCTATAATGCTAAACTCTTTAGATTATAAGTTTTGGCTTCAAGTTCCTCTTCCCTCGGTATTCCTCTTACTCCATCTGACCCTTGGAGTGGTTACACAGAGTGACTTAGCAGCGATGCACACGCGCGTACGTGAAACGCGCGATTGCATCGATACAAACACGCGATTGCACCGATGCAAACGCGCGATTGCATGGACGCAATCGCTTATAAATCACAAGCGTAGCGATGCATCGCTGCTATAAGTCTAGCCGGTGTGTACTCGCTCTAAGGCAAATTACATACGGCACCGTAACAACAGTTGTAGTCGCTTTTACTTTACTTGCTGCAAAAACTAATGCGATACTTACGATTTTAGTAGATGACGCCAAAACAAAAATAAAAAATTCTGTGTATTAATTACAATTTTGTAAATAATTACAATTACTTAAGTAATTATTCAAATACTGGCCAGCCCTGGGCTGAGACCAGATAATGGTATGATACAGTACCGTTACTTTCACTTCATTTTGAAACACAGATTTGTTCTGAATAAACTTAAATATGATGTTGCATTAGAAAAGGCCAGTTTACAAGAGCAATCCGCGTCGAATTGAGATCCTTGGTTTGATTGAAAAGTGCTAATTAGTAATATTTTATAAGGATATTTGTAGTTTAAGAAATATAAATACAATAAACATTTTCAATTTGAATATTTGCGATGGTATAGTACTCAATATGATTTTTCTTGTAAAAAAAAACCATTTTCAGAATTTCAGAATTAGAAAAATAATTAAAATATTGAATAATTACTACGTCGCGGATCAAGGACGCCTTCAAATTAGACGCTTATATAAGCGCTACAACCGCGCCACTACTAATTTCTATACAATATTTAGAAGCGCACTTGCAGTGCCACAGTCGCGCCACTTTTGCAGACTAGATATTGTTTGTTATTGAAATCTGTAGCGCTTAACTGCAGTGCTTCTACAATCGTCTAATTTGAAGGCGCCTTTAGCCACGGTTTTTATATTATAAAGGCAATTTTGCTTAAGATAACTGTCACTTTGATTGGCGATTTAATTGTATGTTTAAGTGTAATGAATAATATTTGTAATAATGTATCTATATCGGAGAAATGGTACAATTTCTTGTGATCACCGATTCCAAAACTGGCTAAAAATCGGGGGTCAGTTGCAACTCGACCTTGTAAGGGAATCACCGCTTTTTAACGTGGAATCGGCTTGAGTAGGTCGAAATAATTGTAAAGTAACCATGTAATATGAGCGAAGCGAAAATGTTGCCCGTTTCGCTTCCTCTCGAAGTGCCAACGAAAAGCAATTATTTTTTTCGTTTCTGACCAACTTAATGCGATTCCCTCTCGATAAGTGTGCGAATACCTTTAAGGGTTCCTTCAGATTAGAAGCTTATAGAAGCGTTGCAGTAGTAGCGACAGCTGCACGTCTCTAGACGTTCAGTAATTTTAAGTTCACTAATTGTGACTCAAAGTGGCACGACAGTGGCGGTGCAACTGTGCTTCTAAATATTATATCGCACCCCTCGTGGAAGAATGGTATAAGTGGAGTTACGTCAAAAACGTTTATTGCTTGCTCCATTAGATACAGAAAAATATAACCCACGTCCTCTAATATTATGCATAGAGTTAAAAGAATTGAAGAGGATGTGGATTATATTTTTCTGTATCTAATGGAGCAATGAACATGCTTGACGTAACTCCATTTATGACATTCTTCCATGAGGGGTGCGTTTATTCTTATCGTTCTAGGAGTTTCATAAACAACCACTTTTGTTCTGTGACTTTTTGAAAAACAATAAATTTACCATATATGATAAAATTTCATATTTTTAGATCATTCATTTTTTAGATCTGTGGTAGTAAGATAGTAAGTTCAAACGTGCAAGTGAGGTTGTTGTAACAACGGCTGTTCCAGCAGAACTGGACGGCCGTGTGAATGGGTCGTTACTTGGTCACACGAGCTGCTATCGATCCCAGGCCTTGTACTCTCGTTCTTATTTGGACATTCTTCCGGAACAATTATTGTCAAATAAGTATTCGACCCAATTAAAGAATGACGCTTCACACTTGACGTTGTTTTTCAATTTGCTCGAGTATTTGACGTTTATTGTTTCGGACGGAGAACGCGAGTACAGGGTGGTTCCGAAAGCAGTATAGTGTGACAAATTTAGGAATCAGGGACCACAAGAAGTTGTACCATTAAAAGGCTATTTTACAACAAATGTCATTAAATATTTGGCATTATTTTCATAACCTAAACTTAGAGTATGTATTAATAACAAATATGTCCTACAAACATTACTACGTATCTATTAAATTTTTACGACAACTATCTTTCTTTTCTTTTTGATCTCTGTAATGGTTGTCTGTGTATGAGGCCACCGAGTCACCCTACATTGTTTACATCTAGTCGACTCGGTCGACTTCGGCCCGAGTGTTTACACTGGGTAAGTTGTCGCCTTCGACGGGTGAGTGAAAGCAACATATCGACCTAGTGTAAACCCTTTGTTGCCCGTGGTATTACCAGCAGAACTACACACACGGTCACACGGGCAATAATAATCTCCCGTGTAACTACCGACAGGCCTAGGAGTATCACGGGTCATTTTTTTTTGTCCGTGGTACTACCACAACTGTTATGGATAGGCATGTCGCATCGAGTATATAACCAGAAATAGATTCGAAATAAGGGCTATATATTCCTGGTAACACATTAGCCATACAGGTCTTATAAATATCAATTCACGTTTGCACTGAAATATAGACAGGCCAACTACTGACCTGTGCGTCTCCGTATATTCCAAAAAAATTTTTTTTTTATTGTAATAAAAATAATATCTAACAATGCCGTGCTGTTCTATTCGGTGGTGTGGGAAAAACAACAAAACATCTAATTACAAAATAAACGAAATCACATTTCATCGGTAATTAAATATTAAATATGTATGTAATTTCGGTCCATTATAGCAAAACTGAAGTTAACTGGTCGATTTGAAGTGAAACAGTTGACAAAACCCATTGACGACACCCGTCAATTGTTTCGAACTCGGGCTGGCCAATCGGAGCGCAGTTGTCACAGTAATGATATGGCAGAATAATTTTCAAACAAATTAAATGACATTTCGTCTCTATTTCTGGTTGTATACTCGATGGCGTGTCGCTTACCACCAGTGATACGACTTGTTTGTGCCGTCACTTATTTATTTATTTGTACTTGGTATTAAAAATGAGAAACTTGCCGTCTATTGATACAGAAATAAATCTTCTTGGCGTGTCGACTCTGACGTTTAAATATTTGTGAGAACCAGTACTTAGCGACTGTGACAGCATTGGACAAATAATTTTAACTCATGGTCAATATAATATTACAAGAAAACGAAATTGATTACTCGTATTTCATATTAAAGAGGAATTAATAAGTATTAATATTAACATTAGATACAACATCGGCGTCCTCAGGCTTTCGTCCTAAATGTTTTTAAAAACAACACATCTTTTTACAATCCTATAACAAGAATGTGTCGCACATATAATGACCTTAGGACAATAAACAATTATATATATTTAATTCTAAGTGTCACGTATTTCAAAAGTCCGTCTCAGATGTCCTCAAATAGTCCAGTTAAACTATAAAAATTAAAATAATATTTTTGTCTTAGTTGGTTCGTTCCGTGGCTTAGTTGGTATAGCGTCTGGCATGGTATGCAAGAAGACGTCGGTTCGAATCCGACCGGATCGAAGGAATTTTTTCTGAGTGTTTTTTCTGAGTGTTCGATCTTTGTATAAATAATTTATAACAAACTAGTGGAGTAATTTCACAAAAAAAAAATTGAATATCAATTCAATAAAAATTTAATTAATACAGTGAATAGCGACATCTCGCCAGGACTGGTAGCTGTAAAGGTACTAACTGGGTGATAAATCTTTCAAAGATTTCTCACAGATGGCGCTACGACTAAAAAGTCGTTGAAAGACCCAAGTACAAAGACACGACGCAAGCACATAGAAAAATTCGTGAGGTCCGTTGGTTCGTTCCGTGGCGTAGTTGGTATATGTAGTGTCTGGCACGTTATGCAAGAAGACGTCGTTTCGAATGATCGAAGGAATTTTTTCTGAGTGTTTTTTCTGAGTGTTCGATCTTTGTATTAATAATTATAACAAACTAGTGGAGTAATTTCACAAAAAAATAATTGAATATCAATTCAATAAAATTTTAATTAATATTTTTTTTCTTCTTTGTATTTTCTTTTATATATTTGTATTAACATAAATTTTGCAATTTATAATTAATCGATAGGAACTTGCCTAAACATGCCGTACGTACACGCTTGGTTGGCATTCTGGTTCAAATCTAGTTTTAAACAAATTAATGTTAATCAATTTTGGATGTCGACGGTTGTATTCGTCTAAAAAAATTCTATTCAAAGCAATTTACATAATATAACCTACTCCAGGTTATTGATCCTTCAGTTATTGGTTCATGGTAATACTAAATCCACATCCTATTAAACTCGGTATCCTTAGCGGACTCCAAAGAGGAACCACTATTTTGTGAAACCAGCGAATCGGGGACCGACAAAAGTTCTATCATTGCGTCTGCATCGGGCACGCCCATTATTGTCGTAAGAAGGTCGTGTAGCTTCAATTTCTGTAAAAACAACGACAGGAATATTGTAAAAGCTGTGTGAAAAAAATATTTTCACCCGACTAGCTCGGAAAGGCTGTCTAATTAGATATCTGCGCGCAAAAGCGATTTTTCCACGCTAGCGTGGAAAAGGTTTTTGGAATTCGAACTTGACGATGAACTTTTCGTTCGATGAAAAAAAAACTTAATGACACGTTCAACTACGCGATTTGTCGTACATTACTTATCTAAGTAATAATAATTTAAAGCTTTGAGTGGTACTGCAACTGTTATGGACAAGCGTGTAGTTTACCATCAAGCGCACGACTCGTTCGTTCCATCATTTGATACTATAAAGAAATAGGAAACGCAGAATTTTCCGTTTGAAGTCATAGTCGAAAATTTAAACTTACTTTCGGCAGAAACGTGAAATCGTCTGGACTCATTTGTGCTCGATCGTCAAAACCGATTCCGGACACGATTGACAGGAGATACCACGATAAGTTTCTTGGAAAGTTTTCGCCTGTAAAAACAATGTCGCACGTTGAAATCAATACCAAAGACAATATTAGTGTCTTAACAACATCGAGTATGTAACCAGAAATAGAACCGTAATAACATATAACCGTAATAACAATAAAAAAATAAGTTTGCACTGAAATTACAAATTAGAAAGCTGAAATAGTACAGCGCCAACAACTGACTTGCGTGTTACATTTTTGTATATTCCAAAAATATTCTGTATTTATTGTAATAAAGAGAATATTTCTAACTATTTATATTTATAACTGTTCCATTCAGTGGTGTGGGAAAAACATCAAAACATCTAATTACGAAACAAACGGAATCACATTTCATCTGTAATTAAATATGTAATATTTCCATTTTCGTCCATTCATGCAAAGCTAAAGTAAAACTGGTCGATTTGACGTGAAACAATTGACGACACCCGTCAATTGTTTGAAAAAACAAATATACGCGATTTAAATCCGGAAAAATAGTTTCATTTCCTAATCGAATATAGTTACAAATTTATTAATTACTCATTAAATTTCGGTGTCTAAAAAGAATGTCCCCTATGCTATGAAAGGGAATTAAAAAAAAACATTAAAAATTCGATCCCGTTACTTATTTTTCAACACATTTGCTCGTAACGGGCTTCTTATTGTATCGCTTTTAGGCTCATAAACCTAGCTATTGAACACGCGTTTGTAATTATATTACAAAACGTGTGTGTAATAAGTATAGGCTTAACCGGATTAAGATGTATCTCACAACAAGGCCTATGTATTAAAACTATGCATTCTTAAATTATCCGGGTTATGTCTTTGAAATTAACTTGGTCTATTAAAAAAACAGCTCTAACCTACATATTATAAGATTCAAATTACAATGACAGTAATCCCAAACAAACAGGGTCACAGTTTTTTTTTTTATTTCTGTTTAATACGGTTGTGTAGTCTTACCTTACAAATAATATTTTTATTAATAAATTTATATTTCTTATTTGATGTGATAAATATAGAAAAACATACACAATATACACCTATAAAACTTTAATTGAATAAAATTACTTATTTTGGATAATATTTTACACGAATTTGAGTGAAATAAGGACATATTTATATTATTTCGCATTGGCTGTTTAGGAATTTCACCTAAGTCTCATTATTGCCGAAGCACCTGCGCGCGCATATCCGCGCCGCGGCGCCAGGCGCAGAAAAAATAACTCTGCGCGCCAATTTCCATTGATACGTTCGAAACATTTATATACGCTGTGTGTTAGATAATTACCTAGGTGTTTAAAATGTCCTGCTCAAGCACGGAAGAAAACATTTTGATGGATTTAACACCGCCCGAAATCCTCACAGAGGCACAAAACGCAAGTGACAGTTTATTACCTTCGAAATCCAGAGAAAAATACATGGCTGCATATGAAACTTTTATACAATGGAAAACCAACAAAAAAGCGTCTTCGTTTTCAGAAAATGTTTTTCTTGCCTATTTTAATGAACTGGCGAATAGGTTTAAGCCCAGCTCGCTCTGGTGCATTTATTCTATGTTAAAGACCACAGTAAAGAACAAGAATAACATAGACATAAAAAACTATTCAAATCTGACGGCATTTTTAAAGAGACGCTCTGATGGGTATGTTGCAAGAAAATCGAAGGTACTTTCGCCAACTGACGTCGAAAAGTTTTTAAAAGAAGCCCCCGATTATCAGTATTTAGCAACAAAGGTCAGTTGATCGTATTAAACCTTAATTTTTTTATGTTTTCATTTTTCTTGTATTATATTCGCGAAAATACCTATATTTTTAATTTCTTTACAGGTTGCAATGATATTTGGTGTCCCTGGCGCGTGTAGACGCCAAGAACTAAGCGAAGTAACGGCAAAAGACGTAGAAACTCATGGCCAAATGCTTTTGATTAAAATTAACAACACTAAAAATAAGGTACCGAGATCGTTTGCCATTCACGGTCCATTTTACGACATAGTAAAAAAGTACGAAGCGCTTAGGACAGATAAGGCAAAATCCGATCGGTTTTTTCAAAACTACCAGAAGGGTAGATGCGTGGCTCAGCCAATAGGCATTAATAAATTTGGTGCAATGCCTAAAGAAATTGCCAAGTTTTTAAATCTACCCGACCCGGATTTATACACTGGGCATAGTTTCCGAAGAACATCAGCTACATTGCTAGCTGACTCGGGAGCTGATTTGCTTACTTTAAAGCGTCATGGTGGCTGGCGATCTAGCACAGTTGCTGAGTCTTATGTTGAAGATTCAGTTCGAAATAAGTCCAACATATGTACTCAAATAACCCACGCTATAAATCTGGAGCCCCAGGTTAAGAAGATGTGTCCTGAACCGCAGCCATCCACCTCCCGTGATACAAGTTATTTGTTACCTAGGTTGTCTATTTCTGAGTCTTTAAATGAACCACCACCACTTTCATCCATATTTGTACACAATGAACCCGTATCACCGACTTTTACGCAAGAAGACAATAATGAAATAGTAACAAATAATATCACACAGACGGTTCAAATGCCTAACAAAACTGCACGTTACCATTTTGAAAATTGTACATTTAACAATTGTTTTAATAATTAAATTTAAATAACTACATTTTTGATAAAATCAAGATACAATGACTTTGATAGGCTTTGGAGACTCTTAATTAATTGCTATTGGTAGATATAGTATAAAATAGAATAATATTATTTACATTAACGTGAGCTTAATATAGTATTCAGTGTATCTGTATAATTAATGCCAAATAAAGCTATTTTTCATTTCCATTTTACTCAAGTTTGTTTCATTTTCCTCGCAAATGTGTTGAAAAACGTCGTATGAAACACGTGTGCTTTGATCATTACACTCTCGGCTTTCTTATCGAGTAATAACGCCTCGTGTGTAATGACCAACTTAGCACACTTGTATCATAATGTACTATAGTAAATCGATCCCATTACTAATTTATTAAGGTCCTATTACGATATTTGAGCAACAATAAAAAATTAATAATTAGTAGATTAGTAACTATTGCGATTCTCAATCGATATTTGATCAACAATCAAAAAGTGGAGTGTAGTAACTGATTCATATCAAGAATCGAATTATTTCGATTATGTTGAGTGACTATGGCCCATCGCTAGCGTGACGTGAATGTGAGCGCGCTGTGTACGGACGCACATATTCGCACAATCTCGCATGCGCCTAGTGTTAGTTAATGGAGAATTTCCATTTCGAAACTCCATATTTTTCAGAACACTAACAATTTTTCTTGTTTTTTATTATTGGCGGTGCGCTAGCGAAAGCTAAAGATTTTGCCAGCATGATAATAACAATAATAACACACACACTCAACATACCTCCGCACTAGGGAAACCCTGTGTCGCAGGTGCCATGGATACACACATAGACAACTACAAATTACACCCAAACTCACAAGAGAAATAAATGTCGACCACACAAATATTTCTCCCGGACCGGGAATCGAACCTGGGACCTCTGCGTGGCAGTCCGGCATGGTAACCGTTCCGCCACGTAGGCAGTTAAAGAGCATCAGTGTTCCGCTAAAATAAATATAATTCATAAAGTATGAAAAAAACCCAATATTTTTCCACAATTGACAGTTGACACCTGTCAAAAGTTGAAGATACTGAACGGAAACGATGGAGTCAATACAAAGATTTTTTACCGACCATTCTTTTCGCTGTTGTTCAATCATTTAAAAAGTCATTTTACTCTAACGTGAGTTTCGCAATATAATTTATTAATTATTATTTTATAATTCACGCTACGTAAAACTTCAAAAGATACACCTATCTAAACGTATAGTCTGTCTTTTGAAGACGGAGTAAAATGACAATTGTAGGGTTACCAGTTTTCATAAAACTTTAAATAGTTATGTACTTGTTGTCGATAGTTTTATCGATAGATTGTGAAAGAAGATAAAATTTTGCCGTAAACGACTGAATATGTGAAAAGTATTTCGTTCGCAAGTATAATTCGTGAATCAATTGTACCCATATAACAACCAAAATTTTACGAATTCATGACTAAGAACTTAGAAATGTTTACGGAAACCGCAGTCCCACCCACAACCACGGCCGACCGTTGCGGGTGGAAACCGCTCCGTAAATTTTTAGCCTAAAAAGTTGTCATTTTGCAGACGTGGCCCCGCAGCATAGTAAATACAGTAGAAGTGGTTAGTTAGCGTCAGACGCGTGCCAACTATAGGTCTCGAAAGACCTATCTGAGCTCAGTCCGCCATTTTCACTTTGTATGGTACGGTTGTGTCATTCTTTCGTGCAAATTCTTTAAAATCCTAGTAAAATGCTTTATTGTGCTGGTTTGAAGTGCAAAAATGATAGCTGCGCCGAAAGTATTACCCGTGGTCATTGACTTACAAATAAATGGACGACGGGTCTAATACAAAAACCACGAAAAAAATGTCCCAAGTCAACCTATTCGAAATTTAAATTGTTATGTCATCGCAGTATCGCGCTGTCCGTAGAACAAATGAAGACTAAAGCGGAGTGTCACGCTCTGTATACGATTTTAGCGCCTTACAAGTGCGGACACTTTTTAGCGCGGACTCGACGTCCATATAATTGTAAGTCAATGCCCGTGGTGGTATTTCATATCATCGGAAAGCCTTATTTTAATAAATTTTCAACTATATGTTTATCGAATTTTTTTTTGTTACAAGAAACGAAAGTAAAGCTTATACACCTGCAATATAGTCGCTTCTTGTTTGGAGAACAAATCAATAACTTCAAGTCGTCTAGATGGCAGCACATTGATTGAAATTTCAATATAATATCAAAACGTCGTAACTTTCGACGATATACCAAAATGGTAAAGTTTAAATTGTATTAACCATCCAGAATGTGTGTTATTTCTTTTGAAATTTGAAACTACGATCAATCAATATCAAGATTTTGTAGGGTTTCTAATTAAGAATGTGTGAGTTTTGGCGATATCGATTCTGATAATAATCGATTCCAATGTTTTTTTCTTCCGTATGTGGCCCTATCACACTAAGAGCATTTGCGCAGTACGTCCGATTCGTCCCCTGATACTTTTTGATAATTTATTATACTTATATTAATTGATACTTGTCTTTTAATTTTGTCGAATAGTACTTATTTGACAGTAATTGTTTCGGACGGATGTCGGACAGAAATGGAGAGTAGACCCCCAGTTCCGAATCCGAGAAATGACGGTCCGAAATGTAATTTATCTCTTGTTGTACAAGCGACTTTCGTATTTTCTCCGAGTAGAATCGGACTTAGTGCACAAGATATATCCAAAGTATTTGTATAGTAATGCGCTAAAGGTACCTAACTCACCATATTCCGAAAGAATGTCCACGAACATGTCCCTGTCCACCACATACTCGTCCCTTCTAAACGTGGCGAACGTCTTGAAAGCATTTCTAATCTTTCTGACATTCTCACCAAGGGCTGGTCGATGATTAAGATATAGTTTGACGAAGTCTTCAAAATCAATTTCAGTTACTGGCTTTTTTTGGTATATTTTGTGTCTAGCTTCAACTAGTAAGTTTTCTACCTGTAAATACATGCATTAACAGATATTGTAATATAGTATAATGTAGGTATATCTATAATTTATTATTAGTTAAGTAGGTAGTCTTTAGTTGTTATGGAACCATCGAGTAACCAGAAATAGAGTCGAAATGTCATTTAATTTGTTTGAAAACTAAGTAACTTTGTGAGAAATATTTGTATCGCTTACATTTATTTCTCTCGTGAGTTTGGTTGTAATTTGTGGTTGTCTATGTGCGTGTCCATGGTACCCGCGATACAGGGCCTCCCTAGTGCGGGGCTATGTTATGTGTGTGCGTTATTGTAAAAAAAAAGTACATATTATATAACTTATACTATAACTTTCACTGAAACAGTGGCAACACGCGCTCAACGCCCTAAAAGCGCCCGCCATGTGTACGCTATTCAAAAACCTAACGCGCGTGAACGCTTGTCATGTGAACATACCCTAAGGCCACAGGCTACCACGGCTCCACCCAACCCAAGTGTTCAATAAATAAATTATTATTCTCCTTTCACAACCTTTTGATAAAACTTAAGAATAATAAGAAAAATACTACGTATTTACCTCATATTCCGAAGGGAAGTATCCTAAAGCGCGCATCAAATCAGGCAAAGAGTCTATGGGTATATAATCTTTAACACCTCTCTGAGCAGGAGAAAAAGTCCCTTGGCACAATATCTGTATGTAATAGAAGAGGTCTCTGATTTCCTGGAAGAGCCACCCTGGTCTTCCGTTTTCTATTAAACAGTAGTATGGGTCGAGATCGCCTCCGCCGGCAAGGGTGGTAGCGTCAACAGAACTGTAACATTGATTGGACTTAAATACCAACATTTGACCTTTTGACGATTGTTCTGGTTTCACCTACTGCTGGGTATAGGCCTTCCGAAGTGTGTGCCATCCACCACGGTCCATTGCTAGCCGCATCAACGTCTTGCCTCACCAGTTTTCACCTAGTGTTGCTATGTGCCCCGCCCTACTCCGTTTGAGTTCCATGATCTGAGTACCAACAACCTGAACTTTTGTTCGTCGTCGGATTTCAACGTTCAACGATGATGGAGTATGCACACCTGAATAATGCAATTCAATCTCGCCTTGAAAAGGCCCAAAATCGTCGAGAAGAAGAATTGCAGAGAATTTCACTCTAGATTCGTTCGCCATATAAATGTGGAAGCGTAAAGACTGCCGAGTCCGGCGGTCAACGTGTCATGTCATTTCCACGGTCGGTCGGCCGGTTTTGTTTTTGTTATTTTTCATTTTTCTTTTGATTGGTCAGGTTTGCGGCTATTGCAATAGCTCTTGATGACGAAGTATTGGAAACACAAATTGATAGTAGAAAAAGAAGATGGTGTATACATCCTGCCTGGAGAGAAAAAGAATCCGAAGGAGAATACGCTATACATAGCATTTTGCGCTTGCGCTGTCCACTACACTGTAGTCCAACGTTGGCTAACCTCGGTGTGCCCGGAATGCATTCATATTACGACGGGTCGCGATCGGGCCGGGTTGGAACCTGCCTCGACCGCGACACGGACTCGGCCCGGTCTAACATGAAATTCATACAAAAGCATATATAGATATTTGACCGTATTCCGACCGGTGCACGTGTAACATGAATCAGCCTTTACGCTTCATGCCAATCATTGGTTTATCCATAATATAGGGGTGGAACCATTGACTTACAATTATATGGACGTCGGGTCCGTGCTAAAAAGTGTCCGAACTTATAGGGCGTTAAAATCGTATACAGAGCGTCATTCACGCTTTAGTCTTCGTTTGTTCGACTGACAGCGAAGCAAGCAAAATTAGACAGTACTGCGATGACATTACAATTTAAATTCAACGTTTTAGCTTTTTCATATTCCTTTACATGTCACTACGTTTAAATAGGTTGACTTGGGACATTTTTTTCGTGGTTTTTGTATTAGACCCGTCGTCCATTTATTTGTAAGTCAATGGGTGGAACCCTAACTTACGTCTAATCCTTTGATGTTTGATGTCAGTACTTCCCTGCCACCTTGTCCTAAAAGCGGCTCCAATGGAAAGTCAGCGTTACAGCAGTCGAGCTGTGACATATGCTGAGTTGCATCCGTCCGTAACTGCATATGGGACTTGTGAACTTATGTCTCAGGGTGACGGGAGATGCGACAGTGCCGCTCAGATCTTTGCAACGGACAGGCGTGTCGCTTACCTCCAGGCGCACGGCTCGTTCGTCCCGTCACTTGGTAATACTTAGTACCATAAAAAAAGTCCAGGGAAGTGTTGACACCATACCTATTTCTATACAACCAAACAGTATTGTGATAGTAACGCCTGAATCTATTAATTACCTATATTTAGTGAATTATAATAAAATTGACAAAACGTCGTCTATACTAAATATACCACGGACATAATATATCTAAATAGACGCCGCAAGTGCACCTACTTCCTGCGCAATGTAAGGTATAAACGCTTTGCCGGTGCTATGCTTCAGAAAACGTGAAAAATGCCTAATAGTGCCATTAGAAACTGCAAAATCACCACAACTGTGAGATAGTAACGGTCATTCTCACATTCGGCGTCCTCAGCCTAATTACCGTAGCCATTGTTTTTTCGCGCTTAATGTACCCAATAATATTGAAATATAAACAACTTTAAGCTTAACTATCAATATGTCGCATTAGAATAGACAAAGTAGTTTTCGAGTTATTAATACACGAATATTTTGTGGAAACGGTAATTAGATCTAATAACCGTAGCCATGGATATGGCAATCAAAAAGTTCAAACATTTTTAAGAAAAACCGACACTATTTGACACACATGAATTATTATTTCTATATTTTGTTACATTTGTTCTATTTCTACTCATACAAGTGCCATTCAAGATTTTTGAAATAAATTTAAAGCAAGTTGATAGTAATATATAATAGTAATATTTTAATTATATATATAATTAAAAATTACTCAAATTCTTTCTTACGATTATTCACAGCTGTTACAAGAAAAGAGTAATAATTTACATTATAATTGATTCTGCCGATAAAAAATGTTAAAAGTTAAAAAATATATATATTATATCGGTGTAATTCATTACAAAAAGGCATAACAAGGGAAGAAAATTAAAATCAAAGTTATTTATATGTTGTTAAGTAGTTGTTCTTTATAATTTATGTTTCTATCTATTCTTAAAAATGTTTGAACTTTCTAATTACCGTATCCGTATATAATTATATCTAATTACCGTTTCCATAAAATATTTGTTTCTTAATAACTCGAAACCTCTATTCTTTCTAGTCTATTCCAATGCCATTTGGACATTATGATAGTTAAGCTTAAAGTTGTTCTTATTTCAATGTTATTGGGTATATTAAGTGAGTAAAAAACAGTGGCTACGGTAATTAGGCTGAGAACACCGAATGTGAGAATGGCCGATAAATAAGCGGGGCGTTTCCTTACACAGGTATGTAATTTTGTAATCAGAATATGTATAATTTATTTTAATATAAATTATTTTCAATTTGAATGAATTTCGAGAAAACAAATATGGAAACGAGTGTATGCCGCTTGATTCGTACATTGCAGCATTTACTTGGTGCAGTACACTTGTGTTCCTTCAGCAGTAGGCTATGAATATCGAAAGAGCGATACTTTTGTATAAAGCATTTAGTGCCGTGTTTATTTAGTTCATGTTTTTCATCAAATTTTACGAATTAGTGATTATTCACTTGTTGCAACACAGATCTCAATTCTGATCGATTTAGGAAACAAAAGAATGATAATTCTTAAATCCTTGGAAAATGTTACTTATAAAAATATTCTGTAAACTTTGTGGTTGTTTTTTTTAGTTTTCCGGAGCAATTTTTTTTCCAAAACATGTATTAATAAAGGACTTAATTATCTTATTCTGCTATTATTATTATTTTTGATAATTATTTTATTATTTTACTATATTAATATTTCACGGCTTCGTATAATCAATCGCTTTAACGCCGAAGAAGGTTTTCCAACACTAAGTAGTGTTTGTGACGTCATCGGAGGTACAAAAACGTGACACGCATGGTTTTCGTACAGAGCGCGGTACTTGGGGAGTCTATGTAGATATATGTCTATGAAATATACTCACTCCTGAACAGCTGACCATATTACCATGCAGTTGTCCTTGGAACCAATTGTATATAAATTGTTCAGATCTTGACGAAAGTTCATGACGGTCAACTGAAAAAAGCAAGCTTAAATTGTAAGGTTAACAACAATCCTAGCGAAAATTACGCGATTAATATTAAAGACGCTTAATTACATTCAGTTGTCACAAGATTAACCATTACAAATAGCCAAATTGAGGCGCAAAAAAACGTCGTTTATTTCAATAAAGGCAGAATTGAACTTGACAGTAAGTAGATACCGAGACTTAAGAATCGATATTACCTCAGCGTGAATTAAAATTTTCCCGTACTAATATGGTTTATTTTGCTTGAGTCCAGAGCCAGAGACGCTGGCTTTATTTCAGAATTTAGTTTTTTACAAACGACTTAAAAGCGATTTGTAAAATTTATATTATATACGTCGTAGAATAATAACGCATAGAAACTTAGTCCGCACACGCTAAGTGAGGCAAATTGAAGCGCTCCCAAAGGGACTACACGAGCGGGCGGGCCTTCAGTGCTCAAGGTCAACTTCCACCGCGAACAGATCAACAATTTTAGCTAAAAATGACGAAATATGCGGTAAATGAGTGTAAAAATACGTCAGACAAACATAAAATAGATACCAACATCACATTCCACAAGGAAGTAACGCGTTTCAACTTGTATTTTTACATAAATATTCACTAAAACCGAAAATTAACATAGTACTAAAACTAGCCTACATGAATTTGATTTTTGCCTCACTTGTGACAGTTCGTTTGATATGAAACTATCATTCTATGCGTTATTATTCTAAGGTATACGTGTTCTATTTAATTCAGTTGATATTAAAAAATCATTGGTGTGTAAAAGTACCTACTGAATTCAGCGGTTTTTTTGTGAAATTTCGAGGTAACTTATTTTTTTCCAAGGTGATTGATTTAATACTTTCACTGTTTTGCGGAATCAATCAAAGCCAGACTCTTAAAAGACTCAGCTTAATTACCGTAGCCATTTCATTGTAACCAATCATTGACTTACAATTATATGGACGTCGGGTCCGCGCTAAAAAGTGTCCGAACTTATAGGCCGTTAAAATCGTATACAGAGCGTCATTCACGCTTTAGTCTTCGTTTGTTCGACTGACAGCGAAGCGAGCAAAATTAGACAGTACTGCGATGACATTACAATTTAAATTCAACGTTTTAGCTTTTTCATATTCCTTTACATGTCACTACGTTTAAATAGGTTGATTTGGGACATTTTTTTCGTGGTTTTTGTATTAGACCCGTCGTCCATTTATTTGTAAGTCAATGTAACCAATTGAAATATGAACAAGTCCGTTAGGTAATACGAGTATGTCTAAATGACATTAGAATAGATAAAATAGTTTTTGAGTTATTAAGACATAAATATTTCATCAAAACGGTAATTACAATTTGTTATTTTCCACGGCTGATGTAATTACAAAATTCAAACATTTTTTTAAAAAACAAAAAGTTTTATTTGGATTGTCTAGGTACTCTTTTTGTAATTAATTACACCGAAACACAATATTAAGGGTCGTATTCTAGAACTCTATTCAATGCTCAAGTCAGGATTGCACTGGCAACACAAGCACTGGAAATACGACTCTAATGGCAAGGACTTGAGTATGATTTTCAGTGCTCACTGCAATACTCAAGTTCTGATCTGAGTATTGAGTAAAGTTCTAGAATACGACCCTAAGAGTTCGTCCGGGGAAGTACTGCCACTCACTTAACCGCTCACGCGATACATGCAGCCTAGAGGTGTCGGTGATGATTTTATACCGATTTATCCGGATATCGAAGTTATAACAGGTAAAAGAACTAATATTAATTGCTATTTCGGTAAGTACTCTAGCAAACCATAAAGTTTTTAATGCCTGGGTCTGTCATTTAAAAAAAATAAACAACTTCAAAAATACGTCACGACAATCGTGCGTGTTATTGTTTGGACTGGTGATTTCGGTGTTTATTTATTGAAAACATACCGTAAGTAGCGTTTTTTAAGTTTACCCTGAATATAAATGTTTATAAACTATACTTTAAGGAGTAATTTCATGGTAAACGTTAGAACCACTCAAACGGAATATTATCATATTTATCCAAGTACACCAAAAATTTCATTAGTGCTTTTTAAGTGCAGGACTTGCGGTGTATTACTGCATTTTATTGAGATGTTTTTGTTGGTAGTACGGAGGGTATTTATTTAGCAATGCAGAATAATAATTTTTATTTATAAAAACTTGTATTTAAACTGAATCCTTTTCTAATTTGCGAAACAGTGAGCAGCGTTCCGGTTCGGAAGCGTAAAGATGCTGGTAAATTTACACGCACATGGGCCTTGTCCACTTATGTCTCAAGGTGACGGGGGCAGTAACATTACCCCACAAATCTTTGCAGTTAAAAGCACTGAGTGGCACTGCAACTTATGGAGAGGCGTGCCACTTACCACCAGGTGTGCGACTAGTTCCTCCCGTCACAAGGTCTCATAAAAAAAGTCAATGAACGAGCAGTAGCATAAAAAATGACGTTTTCACCACCGCAAAAGCGTTTTTTGCAGGCTAGCGTGGAAAAGGTTTTTGAAATACGAACTTGACGATGGACTGCGGTACACGTAACTTTTTCTTTCGATGAAAAAAAAAAGATAAAGACACGATTTGTCGTACATATTTATGTAATATAAATCGTTGGTATATTTTATTCTTATTATTGTTGACATTAAATTAATAATGACAACGACAATGACAAATGAACCCTGGCTACGCTTAGGAATCTACTTTTGAATCTTTTTTAATCTTAGCTTCCTTCGCTTGCTGAGGATTCAATACACTCGTGTTAAACAACAACTTTGCAGTTTTGCATGACAAGTAATTACTTATTTCAAGTTTAAAATTTTACCTATTCAATAAATGATTGACATACGCGATTAGGATGCCCCAACTGAGCAGCATGTTTCCAAGGGTTTCCATCCAGGGGCAATCTCTGCAGTCCAATAACGTACTTAGTAGCAAACAACAAGTACTCCACTTCTTCATCCTTTACGATCCTCGATATCAACTCAATTTTGTTAACAGGTTGTTCATATCGGGGACCAAGTATGGTCGATAATGTCATTGTCGTATCGTAGTTTATAATTTTGTATTTGTGCTGGAAGAAAGAGTTGCAGGCTGTATCAGACTTTCTAATATAACAATAACACAGACACTCATGGCCCGGCACTAGGGACACCCTATGTCGCGGGTGCATTGGACATACAAAGTCAAAGTCAAAGTCAAAGTCGCGGGTGCATTGGACATACACATAGACAAACACAAATTACACCAAATCTCACGAGAGAAATGTAAAATGTAGGTCGTATAAATATTTCTCTCAGCCCAGGAATCGAACCCGGGACCTCTGCGTGGCAGACCAATAACCGTTCGGCTATGGAGGCAGACTTTAAACCGAAGTCTGCTCGAGGAAAACTAAGTTTTGAAAGTACCAAGACCAGTTTGTCGACAAAAATGCTTTTATGCTAAAGAACACAGAACAATCCATACAGTACAAGTGCTTAGTGGACGTTGCACGTGTGCCAACAGTACGCGGAGTTCCGCAAATTTGAGCTCAGTGCGCCATTTTCGCTTTGTACGTTATGGTCGTGTCAATTATCACATGCAAAATCTCGGAAGTCGTAGGAAAATGGTCTAATTCGGTACTTTGGAGTACGAAAATGTTAGTCGCACTTGTATTATCCATAATGGTGTTTCCTAATTACGTGATAAACAAGCGTGTTGCTTACCACCAGTGATGTGACGTCTTCGTCCCGTCCCTTTGTATCACGAAATAATCTTATATCATAAACAACAACTTTTGTTCGTCATACAACATTTTTACATGAAATGATTATCACTAATTTCAGGCCACCACGCTTTTCAGCTTACCACGGTATGACTTCTTTTTATTTTCCCGATATTTCGGAACGGTTGCACGCTCCATGGCCACGGGTTGACTGGACGGCGGCAGATGACAGCTTTAAGAGCAGACATATCTGTCTAGTTCAGTGATAATCATTTAGTGAATAACCTTAAAAAATATAATAAATTTGCCAAAAATAAACTTTTAAGTTTTTGTAGTACTATCTGACATGTTTTAGATTTGTATTTGGTAATAATGCAAATGTCCTCTCCAACGATCTCCACCTCCGCTCCTGCGTTTTGCATCAAACTGATATTTATGCTAGCGCTTTCTTTTGTTACCGCACAAAGTTGTCACCGTTTAGTGCAATCTATTTTAGAATATTTTTTATTTTTGTTCGAAAGTAAAATCTGTTAATTTACTAAAAGGTATGGAACAAAAGTTGTTTTTTATGTCAGTAATGACTTCTGCCAAGTTGTTAGTATCTTACAAATAACTCTATTTCTTGTTCCTTTTTAAGGTACAAGTTTACCAACCTGATCGTTGGCAACCAGTATCAAGGGCAAGTCCATCTTGCAGGTTTCAGGGTCGACGTATTTTGGAGTGGGCCAGTTGATGGCTGTTAGAGGCACAGCAGATTGGTCCATCCTGTCTAAGCTTAAGATTTCTAAACATTCATCCTTACTTTGTCCTGAGAAAATAGGATAGGTAAAAATCAACGTAAAGGAAATAGCGGAATTTATTTAATTGTTTTCGTGCTGTTTCAATGTAAGTAGAAGCAGCATATGTCCTTGTGAAAGAATTCGCAAAGGTAACTTCTGGCATCATACCTTGTCCCATCTACCAACCAGAGAGAGGGAGTTGGGAAGGTCCCAGAACGCTATTGGTATTTTCTGTGACCTGTCAAAGGCATTTGATTGTGTTGACCATATTACTCTTGTTAGGAAGCTGGAATGTTACGGTGTAAATGGCAAGGTGTTGGACCTTGTCTCGTCATATCTCAGCGGTAGAATTCAGAAAGGAGACATAAATGGAGTGACTTCTTTGAGTTCTTCGGTATAAATGGGTCTTCCGCGGGGCTCAATACTTGGACCTTTCTTATTTCTCATTTATATTAATGACCTGCCATTCTTTGTTATGGACCACTGCGAAATACTATTGTTTGCTGACGATACATTGATTTTATAAAACAGACAAACATGACGTTAACTATGACCATGTTAACGATACCCTCTCTAAGATAAATTATTGGTTTAATGCTAACAATTTATTGCTTAATGCCAAGAAGACAAAGTATGTTAAATTTGATTACTTAACGTAAAATGGACTAGTCCAAGCATTGAAATAAACGGAGCAAAGTTGGACCTTGTTAATAAATTTCTACTTGGGAGTGACCTTAGATAGTAAACTTCAATGGTTACCACATATATCTACCCCGTATTAAAAGCTCAATTTCGCTTAAAATGTCAATTACATTGTTTATAATAAGGACGGCAGACCTGTCCACGTTTTGCTTACCAATATCGTATTCCACCATAATGCGATCGGTTCCCAAAGAGATAAGCTTGTAGTCTCCGTTGGGGTTTTTCCGTGGAAGAAACAAGACGGTAGTAATATCTTTATAATGAGCTCTATGCTTCCCGATGAAGGTCCATTTTTGAGTGTCGCAGTCGTATTTGTACACGCAGACTGTTTTGCCTGTGTCCTGGGGGCCAATCGTGCTAATTGTCAACGGTAAAACCAAAACTAAACTACAAACGAGACGTCGGTAATGTGACACGTTGCGTACATTTGCTATCGCGCTAATTGTCAAAGGTAAAACCTAAAACTAAAACGTTGCCAATTGCTATCGCGCTAAATATTTTATCGTTTTAACCACACTGAATACAGATTTTACTAGTTTGTGACAAGTTAGCAGTAGATAGCACTGGTAGACGGCTGCTTCTCAAATATTAATTGATCATCAACAACCCTCTAAGGAGAGGGTTTAGTTTGCGGAAATTTGTCTTGAGAAGATCACACTTTTTCAAGGGTTTTAACACGGATGTTTTCCTTGTTTGTGTAATGTCTCACATAAATATTTTTAATAGATTTAAATTTGCGGAGAGAAAAACAAAGAAATACCTTAATGGATTAGAATGATATACAGTAAGTTTGTAAAGTTGCCTTAACACAGACTCCAGAAATAACTAATTAGATATTGTAAATATTTAAGAGTCGACACATCGAGTATATAACCAGAAATAGAGACGAAATGTCATTTAATTTGTTTGAAAACTATTCTGCCATATCATTGCTGTGACAACTGCGCTCCGATTGGCCAGCCCGAGTTCGAAACAATTGACGGGTGTCGTCAATTGTTTCACTTCAGATCCACCAGTTAACTTGAGCTCTGCTATAATGGACAAAAATTGCAAAATTACATATTTAATATTCAATTACCGATGAAATTTGATTCCGTTTATTTTGTAATTAGATATTTTTCTGTTTTTTCCCACACCACCGAATGTAACAACACGATAGTGTTAGAGATATTATCTTTATTACATATTGTTAGAGATATTGTGGAATATACGGAGACGTACACACAGGTCAGTTGTTGGCGCTGTACTATTTCAGTGCAAACGAGAGTTGATCTAAAACACGCTTATTGCTCCATTAGATGCAAAATAATATAACCCACATCCTTTACAACTCTTTAACTCTATCTACATTATTAGTCGATAGACTTATAAGAATTTGAGAGGATGTGGGTTATATTATTTTGCATCTAATGGAGCAGTAAGCGTGTTTTTGACGTAGAATGATCAAAATCGGTTCACATATGTTGGAATCATCGCCTAACATTCACAAAAAATACATTGGAATTAAGAAACTTCTCCTTTTTTTATGTCGGTTGAAAAGTGCATACCACTAAAGGGATTAAAACCGTTCAAGCCTCAATTGAGAAGCAGCCGATCTGGGCTATGGAAGTCTTAAATTATTCGTAATTTATGGAACCCAAACAATATTATACAGTATCTTCGCAAGACTTTTGGGTCAATTTAGTCAATCAGGAGGCAGTATAGGAGGAGTATATATCTGTATAATAAAATTAATAAAACTTTAAACATATATCCGTTAGCTGCTCGTGAAGCTAAACTTAAAACTAAGAACTGGCTATTAACTTTAGATTACCATAAAACTGAAGCCTTATTGTAACAACTGAGAAAAAATAAAGTATTTGCAGGTAATAACAATGTAATAGACTCTATACTACTAACGTGCGAATGTATATTGTCACACACAAACGCAGGCACACACACACCTACACCCGCGCACATGCACGTTCACACACACTCACTCACACACACACACACACACACTCAGTAAAACATATAATATGTAATTTATTTAATAATGTACCTATTAAAATTGTTAAGAAATAGGTAATGTAAGGTCAAATGTTTGAGAGAGGACACTGACTCCTGTAACACAGGTTATACCTAGCTCAGGTGTCAGGGACTTCACTATTGTGTTGTAACTATTTTGTAACAATAAATATTATTATTATTATTATTATTATTATATTATTATTATTATTATTATAGTATAGGGTTTGAGTAGTGTGCTAATTGATATTTTAATTAGCAAAAATACGACTTTTTTTTAAAAACTCATTACAGTTCTGCGTACAGAATTTCAATGACATTTTTCAGCTCAGTGGCGAGTAGCATAGACAACACAATTTTGAATCAGAACATATGGTATGATTTATGAAATTGTAATTGACAGATTAAAGTACAGGCGTAGGAAAAAATATTTTTGAACTTGATCGTAAAAATGTTATTACCGAAAATGCCAGGGTAAGTGAATCTTCGCTATAGGCAATATCCTTTATGGCGAATTTAGTGTCCTTGAATGGTTTCGGCGTTTTGATCTCCAGTGTGGTGGGGTCCAGGAATAGCAGTTGGCCGTTGTTCAGACCACAAGCTAGGTGTACACCTGGAATTTTTTTTATGTACACTCAGTCTTTTATCGCAGACCAACTTTAATACTATACATATATTCTTTGTTGCACACAGACAAATACAAAATAATACAAAAAGTAAAAATGACAGGCACAACAGGCGGCCTTATTGCTAAATAGCAATATCTTCCAGGCAACCTTCAAAAACTGTAAGATTGAGAGCGCAACAGAATACGTATTTAATAAACATATTGCATATACACAAATGAAGAAAAAGAAATTTAATAATAAATAATAAAATGAAAAGTAAAAAATCATAACTTTTTGAGTATTCTCCAAGATTGAACTCAAATTTCAAACTTTTTTTTATAACGTCATGTGGCAGGACGAACAAGTCGTGCGCTTGGTGATAAGCGACACGCCTGTCCGTAACAGTTGCTGTGCTACTCATAGCTTTAAATCAAAAAGATCATAGAGGGGTACTGGCACTGAACCCGTCACCCTGAGACATAAGTTGACAAGTCCCATGTGTGTACACACTTCACCAGCATTGTTACCCCTCAAAACCAGAACGCAGTAAGGTGACAAGGAGCTCTACTACTGCAATCCACGACGCCTTCCTAGACCATTCATATTGAATGTTTATACTCATACCACTTCTTTTTACAACCCTTTGACGAGAATGTGTCGGGCCTACAATGACCTTATGGCTGATGCTGGCGATGATTTAGGGATGGATATATTTGACAATAATTTTAAAAGGCCTTGCAATCGAATCCATAAGCACCGGATTTTCTCTCTTTCATAGTTATAGTCATAGTAATTCTATTTTATAATTATTAATACAAATATCGAACACTTAGAAAAAATTCCTTCGATCCGGCCGGATTCGAACCGACGTCTTCTAGCAAACCGTGCCAGACTATACCAAGTAATCCACGGAACGAATCAGCGGACCTCACGAATTTTTCTATGTACTTGTTTGTCGGATCTTCGTATTTGGTTTTCAACGACTTTTTAGCCGTAGCGCCATCTATGAGAAATCTTTGTGTTAATAATTATAACAAACTAGTGGAGTAATTTCACACAAAATAATTGAATATCAAATTCAATACAAATTTAATTACAATTAATAGCGACATTTCTAGCCAGGGTTGGTAGTAAGGTTAACTAACTGGGTGACGAAATACTTTCTTAGATTTCTCATAGATGGCGCTACTTATTACATGGCGATAATTATAACAAACTAGTGGAGTAATTTCACAAAAAATAATTGAATATCAATTCAAAAAAAATTTAAAAAAAAATTAAAGTTCAATAAATAAATAAATAACTTATACTATACCTGACGGAGCGTATTTCAAGCATGTGACAGACAATTGTGGTATGGTGATTTCGCAGTCTCCTTTAAGTGATTCGTCCCTAGGCGGAATTACAATCTTGTAATATTCCCGCAAGTGAAGTCGAGTAAATATTCTATGTTCGTTCAGAAGGAACATCTCTATATTCCCGTCTTGGTAGCCTATGCAGGCTATTTGCCTGAAAAAGTACAATAGACGTATACAAAATACAATCAACCCTCTCGGGTCTTAACCGGGTTTTTACCCAAATTTTTGGGCAAAAATGGCGAGTACGGAAATTTATATAATTTTGTGTTATTTTCGTGTTTTTCACACACTCATAGACATTACCTGTCTCCGTCTCGAGAACGCTGTCGCTGTCCTGTAGTTAGGTACCTGAGTTCCTATCATTTAGTTAACGTTTATTTAACATTATTAACTAGGATACAATGATATTATGAGTTACAAAGTTACGTTTTAATAGTTTAACGACAAAACTGAAAATCCCGAAGAACCCGGACGGTTATTTGGTTGCCCTATGCCTACGCCCTATTCTCAATTCGACGAAATTTTTTTTTGTATGTATGTTACATGTTTACTCTGATATTTTTTTGTAGCCCCGCACTAGCGAAACCCTGTGTCGTGGGTGCCATAGACACACACACACACATTGACAACCACAAATCCAAGCTCATGAGATAAATAAATGTAGACTATACAAATATTTCTCCCGGCACGGGAATCGAACCCGGGTCGTCTGTGTGACAGACCAGGATGTAAGCTTTCCGCCACGGAGGCAGTTTCATTCATACTTATTGCAAATTTCGATGTAAAAAATCTTTTTTAGACAAAAAGGGGCACCTCCACACAGTACCCTTGCAATCCTGTGGATTCTCATTACTAGGGATGCACACTAACATTCGATATTTATGAACATGACGATTTTTTGTATCGATTTATTTCAACGATTTTCAAGTAAATCTATTTAACAGACAGGCAAATCAAATCGTCTAGATCAGAAAGCAATAAACATTTGTAATAATATCATTCAATGTGGACAAAAGTCAAATTGCATTAAATAATCCGTAAAGTTTTTGCCCTCGATTTCGGGCTTTAATGCATTTTAACCCGATTTAAACCCGAACACGATGATTCTTTTTTTGTTGACACGAGAAAATATTCCACCTGTAAGGGAGGCAAACTAGGGGATGAATCTTATTTCGCGTACTTACCGGTTTCCGATTTCAATAAAATTGGCAAATAAATGTAATTTCATGAACTTTTGAAGTCAGTTTATTTGTTCCGATGATTCGTCTTAATCATTTAGTTAAAACTTACTTTTCAGGGTGTACAGATAAAGAGGTGGCAGGTGATATTTGGTAATCCAATACAGTTGTCAGTTTTTCCGTTACAAAATCCACAAACCCTATGCCCTGGTTATGTGTCACTGTTGATTAATAAAATAATGTCATTATTATTCTCTACCCTATTCGTACCGCTCTTCGTAGTAAATAATACCAAGTTGATAAGAAATATTACTATATTTTCCGTAACTTATCACACGTTCCTGAACAATGTAGGTAGTACAATCACTTTATGTAAATAATTTACTCGTCTAGCCTTTCGGACTCTTGCACACCACTCGACAGAGCACCGGCCGATTCCGCCACCCCGTCCCTCCACTCAACCCTACTTTTTAGTAGCAGGGTGGGATTTGGCGGAAACGGCCGCAGATTGGCTGACGAGAAAATTAAGTAAAAATGAATTTATATTCAAATACGTGCTTAAAATTATAAGTGTGAATAATTATTTTAACGATCTACAATAAAATATATTTCGTTGTAAGCCTTTCCTTCGAATTAAACTGATATTGCAATTAAACTTTGTGCAATTGTGAATAGCGCCATCTATTTGTCACCAATATTCTATACAATGCAATGCCATCTAGTGGTCACATACGGTACTATTTATTATGTGCCAGGAATCAGTTATTTCATTAATTTGCAATATATGAATACATATTTCATCCATCTACAATAAAACTATCCTACACCTATATCTATACTCCACCCTACCTTGTGATGAAAGAGACTTAGGCTTTTAAAAAACTACTACGACTAGTCTAGTCTTTTAACCCTTGAGTCATAAGACTAAAACTGAAGACTAATTCGAGTGGAAGTCTTTTAACCCTAGGTAGCTTAAAATACTTATAGGACTAAAACGACTAAAACGACTGACACCTCATGGCCTAGGGAGTCGCGGGTGGCTCATGACCCGCGACTCCCTGCTACACATGGCGTAATTTCATTTCTATCTACAAGGTTTCAATCTGCTTTACGATTTTCATTGTAAGTAAATAAACGGATTATTTACTACATACTACTTACGTCATTTTTATTTATAAACTTCGGGTATAATAAGACATAAAATAGGTATAAGTCCATTGCAAACAACTTGTGTCATTTAAGTCTATCAAGTCGTTTAAGTCTCTTGAGTCTTTTTAATAAAAACTCGAACCCCCAGTCTTAATTTTAGAGTCGAGTGCAGTAAAAACGCCTTAAAAGACGCGAGTCTCTTTCATCACTATGTAGGGTCCCTACCACACTCCACGTTACCCCAAACCACCAGACCCAATCTTACTCAGCAGTGGCGAAAAATCAATTTCAAAAGTGAAGCGGATGCAGAAGTTAAGGAGCATTGCTGTAATGCAAAACTTAAATAACTCCCACTATATCTGAAAAAGTTCGTCTCCCTGGACCCGAATTCAGAACTCTTCGATATTTTACCCGAATCTTTCGACTGGATATCGTTCTCGAATCGAAGGGCGATTTCCGAGCTATTTAGAACATCGAATTAAACATTCGTTATCCAACAGCGTTTACGGAGTTAGTCGGTGAAATAGATTATTAGAAAAATTAAAATCCCTTTATATACATTTTTAAGACTTTAAAGGCCTAAAATGTAGGAATGCATTTAAAATAAATTAATAAAATTGAACAAAAACTGGCTTTGTAAACAATAGGACGTTCGTGTGATGTTATTTCGGTTTGGTTTCGAATATGAAAGTTTGACGTTCGATTTTGGTGCTGCGAATAAAAATGAAAAGAAATCAATCGACAATTGAGTTATCGTAAGGTTCTAAATCGACCACGTCCAAACGCGAATCGAAAACTTCCTCATCTACGGCCCACAGTGCTAATCATTGGACCCCCACAAATCTTACCACTTAGTAGACACAACTTAGTAACAAGTAATGAGGAGGAAAATATTTTGTCAATTTTACTCGTGATCGAGAAGGACACCAAAAACAGCGTTTTGACAAAAAGCTACGTAAAGGATTTTTCGTTTTTTTTTTGTACATTTTGAGGTTATTAACATAAAAAGATACATTTAACTTATGTTGTACATTAGATATTAAAGAAATCTATCTAAGCATTACAAATTTACTTTGGAAAGTAAGTTATCAAAAGGCTTTCTTTCTCATTAGGAAAAGCGCAAAAGCATTTTTTGCACGCTAGCATGGACAAGGTTTTTGAAATTCGATTTTGACGATGGACTGTGGTGAATCTAACTTTATCTTTCGAATGTAATATAAGCCAGTTGGTTATATTTTATTCTTATTATTGTTGCCATAAAATTGAGAATGACAAATTTCGTCGAAGAACTAAAATAATTTCAATAATCACTTAATCACACAAAATAAAAGAGAAGCAAAAATAACAATATATGAAGAGTAAATTCAGAACGCATCCGAAGGTAAACTTTTTCTTTTAATTAAAAAAAACGCATGTTTTAAAGGTTAACTGCTTTTTTTTAGTCTACCATTTTCCTCGCTATAGTGAGGTGAAAAGTTGTGTGTTTCGTTTGACGGCAAAGTTGTTTTATATCTCGTGCCTTAAAACCCTCGCTACGCTCAGGAATCTAAAGCACTCGCTTCAAACAACAACTTTTCAGCCTTGCATAACAAATAATTATTTCCCTCGTAAACAGCCATAATATTCATATATAATATATATTGAATTTCGGACTAAATTGAAATGGCTCCCAATCAGACTTCGCCGAGATATGCACGTTCTTTGTCTTCTTTATAAAATTTTAAATTACCCCCAGCTTCCTCATTATCTGTGTTCCCGTTTTCCCCCTTATCCCCCAATTCCCGCCCAAAACGTACCTGTGACACTAGAACTCTTTTATATCTCCAATCCAACTCCAAATTCTTTCACAATTCTTTTACCGTAAGTGTAGCTCGTATGTGGAATAAACTACCTGCTAACATTCGTGATAGTCCATCGGTGGCATCTTTCAAACACAAATTAAAAGAGCTCTTCCTCGAACGTGTTAGATAGTTTATAGGTAACATATTTGTAAACAAATGATCTGTTATTATAACATATATTCTGCTTATGTATGTATTTATGTATGTAAAGTTCATGTATGTGTGTATGTCTGTCGTATGTATATTATTATCATTTATATTTTATTCACATTTAAATTTAAATTTTGTTGTACAATAATTAGTCCCGCAGACTTCATTTTTGCACCACGGCTAGGGTTGGCTGGAAGAGATCTCTTATAGAGATAAGCTCACCTTTGTATAGGTCCATTGTAACGTGTGTTTCATGTTTCTTTTCTTTGTACAATAAAGAATATTATATTCCTGCTGTTATGAAATTACTAAACACTGTATTGAACCTTGCAGTGTTTTGGTTTGACACGATAGAATGTCATTTTTTATTGTTATTTATTTGAGCTGTGACAAATGTTAGACCTCCGCTCTTCAGACATTTGCACGTCCGAGGGTCGAGTAGAGTAGGTACTGGAGAACTCTACTCAAGGCTCAAGTCAGGATTTGAGAGGTTTAAAGCACTCGAAATCATACTCAAGTCCTTGCCATTAGGGTCGTATTTCCAGTGCTTGAAATCATCCTTAGTCCTGACTTGAGCATTGAGTAGAGTTCTGGAATACGACTCTGAGAGTTTTCATTAACTCAGGCGCCCCGCAACACTGTACTGCATTTCGCGCGCGTAATAAATTGTCAAACCAAAACCCTGTGTTGCTGCGTATCGTGTTATCTCAAAATAATTTCTAAATTTTAAAACTTACAGTGTATTTTTTAATGTCTCATTAAAAAACACTAATACCTATTAGTCCAGTACGGAATACGGACAGTAAATACTTCTCGTGAGTTCACGCTATTTCCCCAAAGGATAATTCCGTAACTTAAGTTGGAATTTGAAAAAGTTGGATATTGAAAAGATCAGAAACTTACAAATCAAAAAATCTCGGACAAGAAAAGGCTTGGCTCTGGTAGTAGCGTCAGTAGGTGTCTTCATTTTGAGCAGTTTCTGCCGCTTTATTCCTGTAACCTCATCCGTTGTTGTCTCAACTTTTTCCCAGCAGGGGCATATCTTTCTACCTGCATATGAAACCATTACGTAATCCCACAGTTTTACAAACCATACAATTGCGCAAGGAATATAATATTTGCGCTGAGCACCTGCCAGATATTCGAGGAGAGTCGGGCGCCGCGGGCCGCATCCTGCAAACACGCTTACTTTGCCGGATCAAGCGCTAAGGGCTGCTTGTTTGAACGCTTAGTACGTGACGTGCTCAGTGTAGTGCGCAATGCTACATATGAGTTTAATAAGAACTAAGCGAACGAGGTTAGCTACTCGCCGCCACCACCTGCGCCTTATTAAGTGAGCGGGCTGTCAGGGTTTTGCCGCGCAGTTTTCGTTGAGTCACCGCCGCAAAAGGTCATGATTAAGGACCACGGAATGGTGTGATTGAGTAAAAATTCCACTCAAAGTTAGACGAACTAAAACACCTCTGTCGGCTCACAGTCCGGGTGTAGCGGCATCACGGCGTTATATACCGAATATAAGCAAAACCCCTCCTCCGCCACCGCACTTCTGAACGATCACAATAAATAAAACGCACAGCCTACCTTTACAACTACCAGCCCTGTTATGCAACGTTGTTATGCTTTGGTATTAAGTTTTATTGTTAAAATTGTAGATAAAAAGATAAAATTTGTCACTTGTAATATTTTGTTTTGGTATGGTTATTTTCTACTCTGGTTCCTTAAAATATAAATATAAAATATAATTTTTAACTGCCTCCGTGGCCGAACGGTTACCATGCCGGACTGCCACGCAGAGGTCCCAGGTTCGATTCCCGGACCGGGAGAAATATTTGTATGGCCTACATTTATTTCGCTCTGAGTTTGGGTGTAATTTGTGGTTGTCTATGCGTGTCCATGGCACCTGGGACACAGGGTTTGCCTAGTGCGGGGCTATGTTGAGTGTGTGCGTTAATATTATTATTATAATTATGTATGTCTTCAGATGTCTTCGTCAATTGTGGACCGATTTTGAAAATTCTTGTTTGAAAGGGTACACTCTCGTGGTGGTCACATTGTCACCAAGTCAGAAAGTGATGAGGGAATTCCATGAAAATCGAAAGAAATCCTCAAATTTTATAGGCATGTTCATGTATTTACCAATTTCTCCATCAGTTGTTTCATCAGATTTATTTTCCGCAAATCAAAGTCACAATTATTAATGAATATGAAACAAAAAACTTACACTTAGGGTCGAAAATCTCATAGCTCCTCGGCATAACATTGAAATACAGCCCCTTGACACTGTCCACGGTGAAACCGTGAACCCAATACATCAACCTGATGTGGTCATCGAAGAAATGTATCTCTCCTGCGCTGTTGCCCGTCACTATCACACTGTGGAAAGAAAAGAAGCTATCGGCCCTTATTTACTAGTAGCAGTAGAGCTAAAGAGTTCGTCCAGGGTAGTATTGCCACCTTACCTATATCTGCCGTCAAGCATTAATGTTAGCATTACTGTGTTCCGGTTTTGAGGGGTAAGGAGTGAAATTACAGGCACATGGGACTTGTCAACTTATATCTCTTCGATCGATTTAAAGCTCTGAGCGGCACTGCAACTGTTATGGATAGGCGTGTCGCTTGCCACCAGGCGCACGACTTGTTCGTCCTGTCACTTGGTATTAAGGTGTGAAATACACTGTGTAAGTCGTACGAAAGGTACAAGCGCGCACTGACGACAATTATGTCACGGTGTCGATAAGCATGCCGCGATTTCCCAAGCCACGCCGAAGCATCCTTAGGCAACCGCCTTCCGTAACGGCATCTCGCTCGCGTCCGGCCTCTCTTCAGATCTCTGCCTCCCCTCGCCCCGCCCCGCCTCGAAAGTCCCAAAAGCCTGCCGAAGCATATCCAAAGGCTGCCTAACCATCCCAAAAGCTGCCTAAGCTCCCAAATGCTGCCTAGGCATCCCAAAGTTTGCCTAAGCATAACAACGGCTGCCGAGGTATTCCGAAGCTGGCCGGCTCGGTACTCCTAAGCATGACGCTACTTTGATTTGAAGCTACGGACATTATCATTGAAATTTCAAAAACAAGCCCTGTTGGGAACTATTTTATAGAGTTATTTACAATATTCACACTTCCGTTTCCTTTTCCGCTACTTCTGTTTCCGTTTCTGTTGTGACACTTCCGTTTCATCAGTAATATGTAAATACAACCACTCACCCATCAATACTCTTGATAACGTTAATCCTATACCGATCAACTTTTAACACCTTGATGTACCGAAGGTTCTCGAAGTTTGTATCTTCTAGTTCTTGGTTATATTCCATCGTATAACCAAACACTAGAATACCACCTCTGCTGCAGCCCACCTGGAAATGTTATCATAAATTTACAACATTGTTATACATTTTATATCTATACAGGGTGTAATCGTTAAGTGTGCCCAGGCGATTATGAAGTAAACATAGTTATCAAAACTCTTTAAACTGATACCGAATGTACGTTACTTAATGACCAAGCCGTGTAGCCCGCTTCCTTACAACTAGAGCACTCGAGAAAAAAATATACGAAAAAGCAGCATGAGGTGGGCGAGCGAAGCGAATGTGCCGCGGCAGCGGCCGACGAGGGCCAGAATGAAATTTGTTTGCGTTACTGTACATGTATTAGATGAAATTATTTCAGTTAAATAATCTATTTACTTCATAAGTCAATGATTTACTTACGTAAACTGAGGTTCGTAATTTATACCTGAGTGTTATTGTTGAATGTAAGTTTATTTTAAACGTTCATTATATTAAGCGAATTGTTTTTTTTTAATTTATTGAGGGACAAACAGACACGTATATAAAAAAATACATATTTTAAAATTAACTTATAAATAAACCTATAGTCCCCTAAATATACATTAAATGAAACAAAAAGTAGGTAAACAAACAATCTGATACACAATAAACAACACGGAAGAAAGAAATGTATTTATGTTGTCTGCGATAAACTACTTCACGTTATGAATAGATATAGCCACAGACATATAGACATAACACATACAACACAAAAAACTCGTGCACAGGAACAACGAAACAGAACAAACACATTCAGCAATATGCGTATTTCGTATTCCTCGAGTGCACACAGAGGTAACTCGCTGCGCTTAGGACCGGTCGTGTCATTACGTAACGTTACACAAGTCGCAAACAATGCATTGAGTGAGAAAATAATGTTAAATAAATAAATAAATGTGTTGAATTGTCATATGAAAAAAGGTTATATTAAATAAAACTGCCGTCCATTGACTAAAACGTCAAATGACAAATGGTCAAATATTTGTTTTAAAAAGATAGAGCACAAAATTATTGTTACGGACGGCCGCACGCGTCTGGCCGGTCAGAGCTAGAATTGAGAGGATAATGAACAATTCAGGAGCTCTGATTGGCCGAGTGGCGTCCGCGGCAAATTGATAGGGCCGGTACGGTGTGGGAGACACCGTATCGGTATAAGTACAAATTGTTCTTTTGTGTTCTCTCGCTCGCATTTGTAATTAAGATTTTGTAATTAAGAATTTCATTTAAATGTCCAAGACCCAACCTACGAGGCCTGCAACCTGCAACCTGCGAGGCCCATTTGCAATACCTCATTGTCGCACTAATTATTCTAAGAATAGGTTCCTTGTAAGGGCTTGTACCCAATTTAATAATGTATATAATGAAATTAATATATTTGACAATAAGCCATTCCGGTTCAAATCTGCCATTACGAAGATCTTATTAACGTAATTATCCAATCGAGGCAATTTTTCTTAGTGTTCGGTCTTTGTATTCTTTATTATAGCGAACTGGTGGAGAGTTTTCTGATAGAGTGGTTGAATGTCATGGTAATTCACATCATGATATTCATTAAACTTAAAATTATAATTAAAAATTACCTACAATTTGTTGCTTGGTGGTAATTATTTTGTTGGTTGCTATCTTATTTTACGTATGTTCAGTGTCTATCTAACGTAACTTAGTTTAAACAGTAGTGGAAACTGTTTTGGCCAGTGTTTGTTTTATATGTGTTATTAATGAAATGTATAATATGACGCTGTATGTTTCCCAAATAAATAAAAAAAAAAAAAAAAAAAAAAAAGATGTGATCATGTTCAGTCGCGTTCAATAAGTCAGATAGACATAAGTTTTATGAAATATAGTCCACTTCCTAAGAATAAAGGAGTGTTTTATTTGATGAAAAGGAAATGGAAGGCAGTTTCTGGTCGGTTTAGGGCGGATTGGGGCAGGGTTCAACAATTATCTTTTTTAATAACCTAACCTCAATACAGAGTACTAAAAAAACCGACCTCAAAAGTCATTCATCCCCTAGTTTAACTCTTAGAGGTCGAATATTTTTTTTCAAATTTTAATGGGACGACTTCTGAGATGCCCTCTTTCCAACAAAAAAGAATCATCAGAATGGGTTCACAAATGGCGGAGTTATCGCGTAACATACATGCGAAAAAAAACACAGTCGAATTGAGAACCTCCTCCTTTTTTTCAAGTCGGTTAAAACAGTTAAAATTAGCTAACGTGTTCGAGTTGTTGGAACTTACCATATCGATGCACAGCTGAAATACCATTAAAAATGTTTATACGATACATCACATACCCGATGTGGAATTATTACACCATAAGTGTTACGTGGAATATTTCGTGAGATTACCAAAATTTGCGATGTGCTCTCCACAAATGTGAAACAAGTCAGTCTGCCGACGTCTGTGGTCTTATGTTTTTCCGTACAATGGATCTTGAGGCGGTAGTCGTCTGTTTCTTTTAACATGCCGCGTTCGTAGACGAAGATTTTCTGTTAAAAGATACATGATGCCATAATAATAAGTATATATTTCGGAATCTTGTTCGTAATGTTACAAATTCTCCTAGAACTAGTGTTCGTAGGCTTGAAAATAAAATTATATCATGGTGTGAGCTGCATACAATTCTGTAACATTGGGGAGTCCGACCAGTCGATGAATACACTCAAGAGTCTGTTGGTGGACGTATTAGCATGGAGGCGCAGCATCTACTCTCATATAACTTAACAAAAATTCATATTCTAAAATAAAATAATATGTAAAACATAATGTAGCGTAAATTGGAATGTTTCTTTGTAAAACTAAAAATAAGGTATTTAATATATAACTTTTGTAAGTGTAGTGGAAAAAATAGGGTGGTTAATTAATATTAGACATAACTGGTTGATGACTGGTACCACCTGACTCAACCGTGACCATAGGACCTGTCAAGGGCCCGAAACGTTTGTTAAAACCGGAAAAATAGTTTCATTTCCTATAGCTCTAGAGATACATCACCACGTCACGAAGATGAAGATCAAAAAGATGTCACATATTTAGAAATAAAAGGTGGAGCAACTTCTCTGAGTGATGATGTTGTTTATATTATTTTTGTTTACAAACATTTAAGTGTTGCACTTTGTTATAAAGTAAATTCATCAAAACTTGCAGGTCCGCAAGTTTATAAAATAAATAAGTATAATTACTAAATTAATTGTATTTATTTACAGAATGGTTTAGCAATGTTTGAATTAGTTCAAAGAAATAACACAAAAATAATAGTTATATATTGGATTATGAATTATGGTTATGGATTGGATGAATTTGCGGTTGTCTATGTGTGTGCCCATGGCACCCACGATGCAGGGTTTCCCCACGGCTGGGCTATGAGTGTGTACGTTATTAATAGTTCTAATAAGGTAGATTATTGTAAGGTAAAATGCGAAGTTAACATAGTGATTTCATTACACTTAAAAATTAAAACACTTAACTAAATTAACTTCATTGTTTTTGCTTTTACATATATTTCAACTTTGGTGGCAATATTCAATTCTGTTGCAACCGATAAGCGTTTTGGTGGCATTGGTAAGTTCTGGTGGCGACAAAAATTTTGAATTGCTTATATCTTTGGTATTAATGAAAATGGTTATGTCCATGTCACGTATATATAAATTAAGTTGTTCATTTTATAGCAAACGAGTCTCGGACCAAAACTTGCAATAAAATTCATTTGTTGATACCCTTCAATAATATTGTGCGATACAACGTTTGAATTCCTAAATCGATTACTATCCCTATGAATTGAATGCACTAACTTCAGATATGCCAATCCAAATGTCTCTCTTAGTCATCAATAAGAACTGGCTGGAATTCTTGGGATTGAATGCCATCTCAATTACAGCGTCTTTGTGAAACGGTAATGTAATTTGCGCTGGAAAAAAAAAACATTATTACAGACATTGACTTACAAATTAATGGACGACGGGTCTAATACAAAAACCACGAAAAAAATGTCCCAAGTCAACCTATTTAAACGTAGTGACATGTAAAGGAATATGAAAAAGCTAAAACGTTGAATTTAAATTGTAATGTCATCGCAGTACTGTCTAATTTTGCTTGCTTCGCTGTCAGTCGAACAAACGAAGACTAAAGCGTTAATGACACTCTGTATACGATTTTAACGCCCTATAAGTTCGGACACTTTTTAGCGCGGACCCGACGTCCATATAATTGTAAGTTAATGATTACAGACTTCTGTTTTTGGTTTTAACGGCTTTTCGCCATGGCGCCATAGGTGAGGAATGAAAGTTTTTCATCAGTCAGCCAGAACCCAAGTTTGGTTGCACTAAATAAAAATGTCAAAAATTAAATTAATGCCGATAAACTCAGTTTTTTATAATTTTAACGTATAGGAAAAAATCGGGATAACAGAAATTGGTCAAATTGAATTAAATAATTAATAGATTCAGGCGTTACTTTGCGGAAGTCCATGTTAATAAAAATGGAAGTAAATTAATTAGCTTTTTCGCAAACCCAGTGAAGGTTAAATCGTGCAAAATAGCTACACTTGTGTTGAATATTTTTTCATGCAGTTAATTATACCACTCTCCCGCCGCATAAAATTTATAAAATAAATAACACAAGCGCCACTACAGTTACAAACCATCACCAACAATATACCCGACACGTGTTTCGCCTCCCCACGAGGCATCCTCAGGGGTTGTTGACTGCTCGACGTTCGGCCGAAGAGTGAGCTCGTTCAGAACGATTGGTGTTAGAGATGGGAAAACCTGCTTATTTTTTTAAACGTTTAAACGTTATGCATTTTTTAAAAAGCGTGCTTTTTTAAACGCTTTTTCACTAAAACGTTTTTTAGTTTGAAGCTAACAAAACCGTTTAGAAAACGTTTAAGTGCATAGACTTTTATGTTAAAAAAAGCTTGCAACGTTGTGTTGATAGCGATACGCAAGAGTAGACCACTAAAGGTTTTAAGATAAGTAAGTTTTTTTTTGTAAAAAACGAGTTATGTTTTTATTTAAGACATAACATTATTATATTAACATTTTGTTCATTGGCGTTTAAAAACATAAGTAGTTTAACTTTTGTAGTTGTTAACCGTTGAAATGGAAAAAAACTGCTTATTTTATTTACGTACGTTTGAAAAGCGTGCTTGTAAAAACGCTTTTCACTTAGGCGCTTTTTAGTTTGACGCTTAAAAAGTCGTTTAGCATAGACTTTATGTTTAAAAAAGCTTGCAACGTTATGTGTTGAATTAATTTGTTTAGGAAACATAGAGGCGCTACTTGAAACTTAAGCACGTTGTAAAAAATTAAATTATTGACTATCTATAGAATTGACCAGTGACCAACGCTTACGCTTAAAATGAAAAGCGTGCTTATGCGCTTATTTTAAAAAGCAGACTTTTTAAAGTGCTTTTCGTTTAAACGCCCACCTCTAGTTGGTGTATTCATACTACGCTTCGGTGATGATGCAAAATTCAATTGTTCATTAATTATACAACCCCTGTTGTTGTACCTAATTATTTCCATCTGTTCTAAGACACTCAGACGTAGTCCTTTTTCTCAAAAATGTAAGATTTCATAAGAATGGGAATCTCGTAAAATATGATTTGTTTCTTTAGTATAAAGTTTTTGTTTCAAATAGTTTTAAACCTCGTAAATTGCAAATTTAGAATTTATTCATTTGGTATGAAAAATACTTTTTTTATTAAATTTGACCAACTTCTTCTGTCCCTATTTTTTCTTCCAATACAATAAAATGATCCTTACATGAAATTAAATTTATC